AAAGCCTATAGACTGATCTATACTCAAGCCTATAGACTGATCTATACTCAAGCCTATAGACTGATCTATACTCAAGCCTATAGACTGATCTATAGTCAAGACTATAGACTGATCTATAATCAAGACAATAGACTGATCTATAGTTAAGACTATAGACTGATCTATAGTCTTGACTATAGACAGATCTATAGTCAAGACTATAGACTGATCTATCGTCAAGACTATAGACTGATCTATAGTCAAGACTACAGACTGATCTATAGTCAAGACTATAGATTGATATACAGTCAAAACTATAGATTGATCTATAGTCAAGACTATAGAATGATCTATAGTCAAGACTACATACTGTTCTATAGTCCAGACTATGCAAATAAATATATTTACAAATAAAAAAATATAGTCAGATGTTAAATTGCTTACATTTTATTGACAATATATCAAAACGATTACCATCACTTAATCACGTTAAGCATGTCTATGCTTGATTGTAGCTTCCATACCAAACCCTATTCCAAGAATTAACAAAAAACTAATGCCGATATATTCTTTCAGTTTAATTTGTTGAAATTTATTAAAATTTTTTAATATATTGATCGTTTATACTATCGCATGTTTAAAAAAAACACAATTCAAAGTCAATTTTGTTAATTTTAAAACAATTATTTAAAATTTTTATTTAAAATTATTAATAAAATAAATGAGAGTTTTCAGTAAATTAGTTTTGTATGTCAATTTCACTTCTTTATTTCTTGGCTGGCTGTCAATATGTTTGTGCGTGAGATTATTTTCTATAAAAGAAAGAAAACCAACAAAATAAATCATCTAAAACAGAGGTCAGCGATTAAAGACAATAGGGGAACAAGTGAGAGAATGAATTAAAGCAAACAAATTAAACTATTCATAAAGAAAAATTTTAAAATTGACTATCAAATAGGTCATGTCATGTTTAATATTTATGCAAAATTTCTTATACTCTTTAAGCCCAGCACTGATTTATTAACTCCCAATTTATAAGCAGCACCATTAATATGCTGCAGCATAACTTGACTTCTTCAGTTTTTACAAATATTTGCGGATTTTTTTTTTTTTAACAAAAAACATTAAGCAGCAAGAATAACTAATTAAGAAAATACCCCCAAAAAAGAAAAGAAATTATTTAAAAAAAATTGTGATTTACTTTATGCCTAACTGTGTTTTTTGTGTATATTTTCTCTTAATGTCTCTGTTTATAATTTATGTCTTAATTTCATTTTTTGAAAGAGAATCTTGTCAACGTTTTATTACAGTTAGAATTTCTATTTCATATTTTATTTATTCCCCCTAAACTCAGAAAATTAATTTATTTATGAATTTCGACCATTGTTTTGCAAATTATTTTTTTTATTGATTTTAATAAAGAAAAACAAAAGTATTTATTATTATTTTCAACAAATTGGCACTATTCAAGTAAAAGTGGGTTAGTGTTTTTCTGAAGTCTTTAGAATTTTGATTAAATTATTAAATTTGTTTAAACTTTTGTGTTTTTTTTTTATTAATAAAAGTAATCGTTTTTTGGTAGCTTTAGTAGTTTTAAAGAATTGAAATGTTGTGACAATTATCTTATTTCATTGGGTCGTTTATTAGTTTAAATTAACTGTTAATGTTAGAGAGTTTTGTTCTGAAATGGGTTTTATAGCTTTATTTATGTTTTAGAATTGTTCTGTTTTTTAAATTTACATAATTTATTGGTTAAAATAAACTTAATAGGCTGTTTACACTTAATCCTAAAACTTTAACTGTTTGGAATAAAAATATTGTTTAACATTTTAATAGGAGAAAATTGTTGTTGGCTTGGCAACACTTTTAGTGAGATTACCTTGTCCTATCATGATGCACTTTTTTGCATTTGTAATTCATAATAGTTTCAATAGGATATTTGAAAATAAAGTATGCAGCTTAAGTCTTTTGTTTGCTCTTTACTCATTTACAAGAAAGTAATGTTTAACCAAATAACTCAACACTTTCAAACTATTTTTACTTCATTACTAAATACATTAATCATTTATAACAAATATTATTACATCAAATGTAATATTATCTCTTTAACATAAAAAGCACGCGCTTGAGAAACACACATTTTTTTTAATTAATGAAGCTGAAAAATACACAACATATCTGTTAGTAATAGTTAAAATATATAAAATATAACAACATAAGTAATAGATGAATGCTACCTCACTTATGTGAAAAAATTTAACATAAAATAAATCATATTTTAACTTTACCATTGCATGTTGAAGTTTTCAAAGAGAAATGAAAACCGCTAAAACATCACGTCTAAACAAAAGGGTCATAAAGTTTCATTTAACCTGCATTGTGTTTATAATATTATCTAATACTTTTTATATATAGTAAAAAATTTACTATTAAAAACTATTGTTTATAGATGTTTTGAAAAAATAACAGCTACACACCTACTAAAGAAAGTTTTAAAACAAAAAAAAAAACAATGAAACATGTTCGCAATTGGAAATAAATTTCATAGGTTGAGGTTTTCAGCTTATAGCCTTGATCAGTCTATAGTTTGCCCAAAGATCGGTGTAATGTGTCCGACTATTGTCTTAGCTATGTATATAGTTTTGTCTATAGACATTCTCTTGATAACAATTCTGTCTTTAGTCTTGTCTATAGATCAGTCTATAGTTTCGACTTCATATCAATCTATAGTCTTGACTACTGGTAAGCCTACAGATCAATTTATACTCTTGACTATAGAACAGTCTACAGATCAATCTATAGTCTTGATTATAGATCAGTTTATATCCTTAACTATACATAGATCAATCTATAGCCTTGACAATAAATCCGACTATACTCTTGTCCATAGAAATATTTATAGTTGACTGTATATCAGTCTATAGAACAATTTATAGTTGACTGTATATCAGTTTATATTCCTGTCTAAAAATCGGTCTATAACCCGACTATTGATCAGTCTATAGGCTTGTCTATAGTGCATTTTGCAGTTTCAACCATAGACTGCTATAGATCAGCCTATAGTCCTAAGTATAGATCAGTGTATAGTCTTGACTAAAGATCATTCTATAGCATTGAATATAGATTAGTTTATATCATTGACTGTGATATATCTATAGTCTATATCTATATAGACTATAGATAAATCTATATTCTTGACTACAGATAAGTCTATAGTATTGACTATAGATCTCTCTATAGTCTTGGCTATAGATAACTCTAAAGTCTTGACTATATATCACTCTATAGTCTTGACAATAGATCACTCTATAGTCTTGACTATAGAACACTCTATAGTCTGGACTATAGATCACTCTTTAGTCTTGACTATACATCACTCTATAGTCTTGACTCTATAGTCTTGACTATAGATCACTCTATAGTCTTGACTATAGACCACTCTATAGTCTTGACTATAGATCCGTCTATAGTCTTGACTATAGATCCGTCTATAGTCTTGACTATAGATCAGTCTATAGTCTTGACTATAGATCCGTCTATAGTCTTGACTATAGATCCATCTATAGTCTTGACTATAGATCCGTCTATAGTCTTGACTATAGATCCGTCTATAGTCTTGACTATAGATCCGTCTATAGTCTTGACTATAGATCCGTCTATAGTCTTGATTATAGATAAGTCTATAGTCTTGACTATAGAACAGTCTATAGTCTTGACTATAGATCAGTCTATAGTCTTGACTATAGATCAGTCTATAGTCTTGACTATAGATCAGTCTATTGTCTTGACTATAGATCAGTCTATAGTCTTGACTATAGATCAGTCTATAGTCTTGACTATAGATTAGTCTATAGTCTTGACTATAGATCAGTCTATGGTCTTGACCATAGATCAGTCTATAGTCTTGACTATAGACCAGTCTATAGTCTTGACTATAGACCAGTCTATAGTCTTGACTATAGATCAATCTGCAGTCTTGATTATACATCAATCTATAGTCTTGACTATAGATCCGTCTATAGTCTGACTATAGATCAGTCTAAAGACTTGACTATAGATCAGTCCATAGTCTTGACTATAGATCAGTCCTTAGTCTTGACTATAGACCTGTCTATAGTCTCTACTATAGATCAGTCAGTCTATTGTCTTTACCATAGATCAGTCTATGGTCTTGACGATAGATCAGTCCATTGTTTTGAATATAGATCAGTCTATAGTCTTTACCATAGATTAGTCTATAGTATTGACTATAGATCAGTCTATACATATCACTATAGATCGGCCTATAGTTTTGACTATAGATTAGCCTATAGTCTGGACCATAGATCAGTCTATAGTCTTAACTGAAGATCAGCCTATACTCTTGACTATAGATCAGTCTATAGTCTTGACTATAGATCAGTCAATAAAGATCGGTTTAAAGCCTTGACGATGATCAATATATAGTATTTACTATAGATCAGTGTATCGTCTTCACTATTGATGAGTTTATAGTATTGACTATATATCAATCTACAGTCTTGACTATATATCAATCCAGAGTCTTGACTATATATCGATCTATAGTATTGACTATAGATCAATTTATCATCTTGACTATATCAATTTATAGTTTTGGCTATAAATCAGTCTATAGTTTTAATGATCAATCAATGATCTTGACATTAGATGTGTATATAATTTTGATCAATAAGTGGCCTATATATATTTATCAGTGACCGCTAGTTTTCCTTTTGGTTTATTAAAGATTCAAAAAACATTTCTTTTTGGCACAAAAACTCTTCACTGTTAACAATAACCACACAATTTTTTCTCAAAATAACTATAATAAATAACCGTTGAAACTCTACGAAATAATTAATGTTTATTTTCACAATTTCTTTAATGAACAAAAGTCGTTTAAACAAATAAATATTTTAAGACACAATAAGCTAACTAACAACTAGGTAACTGTGTCGTGTTTAAAATAACAAAATAAAAAATTTCTTATAAAATTAAATAAATTTAAATGGTTTACATACCATTTTGTTTTTAAATATTTATGAACAATACAATAAAAAAATGTAACAGTTTAAAAATCCTTTAATTGTTTCCAAAATTTTGTTAAATAAATTTAATTTTTTTCAATTATTTCTTGCACTTTTATTTGCAAAAAAAGAAACACTTTCACATGCACTTTTTTCAAATAATTTTTGTTTTAATTTTTGTAAAAGCCAAAGACACCAAACAACTTTTGTTTATTTTCTCCTTTTTTGGACTTTTTTCTAATTTTTTTTTAATAATTTTTTTCCTTAATACGATATGAACCACTCTTTTTGGCGTTTATTTTAAGACTAAATTCACTTGACAGCTTCTTTTAAACATGTTAAATCAGTTGAAACCGTATTTACGTTAACCATACATGAAAATATTTCTACTACTTTTAAGCCAAGTTTTATATTTATCTTTAACAAACCAACAATAATACATAATTGTTAAACTCTTTTCTTCGCTCTCTATGTGTTGTTTTTGGTGTCTACGTGAGATGCGATCGTTGTTGTTTTTAACACTAACATTTCGCTCTTATTATTGTTTTATTGTCTGGGGGCTTTTTGGTATTTTCTTTTGTGCTGCATAACATACACCATGTGCTGCTCCCATCGACGAAGACTTTCTTTCTCCTCAATGTCACAAAATAAATATAGTCAGTATTTCAATTGTAACTACATGCGATATAGTTTTCGCTATTCGCTTGATATGGGTCAGTTGGAGAGAAATATTTAAATGGTCCTTGTTAATAGTCTAGTCTATAGTATAATCTATAAACTAGTCTATAGTTCAATCTACAGTTTGGTCTATAGTTTAGCCTGGAGTCAAGTCTATAGTTTAGTATATAGTATAGTACAGTCTAGTCTATCGACTAGTCTATAGACTAGTCTCTGGTCTAGTCTACAGTCCAGTCAATAGTCTAATTCTATACTCTAATCTATTGTCGAATTAATATTCTAGTTTATATCCTAGTGCACAGTCTAGTCTATAGTCTGGTCTATAGTCTAGTCTATAGTATCATCTAGTCTACAGTCTAGTCTATAGTCTAGTCTATAGTCTAGTCTATAGTCTAGTCTATAGTCTAGTCTATAGTCTAGTCTATAGTCTAGTCTATAGTCTAGTCTATAGTCTAGTCTATAGTCTAGTCTATAGTCTAGTCTATAGTCTAGTCTATAGTCTAGTCTATAATCTAGTCTATAGTCTAGTCTATAGTCTAGTCTATAGTCTAGTCTATAGTCTAGTCTATAGTCTAGTCTATAGTCTAGTCTATATCTAGTCTATAGTCTAGTCTATAGTCTAGTCTATAGTCTAGTCTATAGTCTAGTCTATAGTCTAGTCTATACTCTAGTCTATAGTCTAGTCTATAGTCTAGTCTATAGTCTAGTCTATAGTCTAGTCTATAGTCTAGTCTATAGTCTAGTCTATAGTCTAGTCTATAGTCTAGTCTATAGTCTAGTCTATAGTCTAGTCTATAGTCTAGTCTATAGTCTAGTCTATAGTCTAGTCTATAGTCTAGTCTATAGTCTAGTCTATAGTCTAGTCTATAGTCTAGTCTATAGTCTAGTCTATAGTCTAGTCTATAGTCTAGTCTATAGTCTAGTCTATAGTCTAGTCTATAGTCTAGTCTATAGTCTAGTCTATAGTCTAGTCTATAGTCTAGTCTATAGTCTAGTCTATAGTCTAGTCTATAGTCTAGTCTATAGTCTAGTCTATAGTCTAGTCTATAGTCTAGTCTATAGTCTAGTCTATAGTCTAGTCTATAGTCTAGTCTATAGTCTAGTCTATAGTCTAGTCTAAGTCTAGTCTATAGTCTAGTCTATGTCTAGTCTATAGTCTAGTCTATAGTCTAGTCTATAGTCTAGTCTATAGTCTAGTCTATAGTCTAGTCTATAGTCTAGTCTAGAGTCTATAGTCTAGTCTAGTCCATAGTCTAGTCTATAGTCTAGTCTATAGTCTAGTCTATAGTCTAGTCTATAGTCTAGTCTATAGTCTAGTCTATAGTCTAGTCTATGGTTTAGTATATATTCTAGTCTATAGTCTAGTCTATAGTCTAGTCTATAGTCCAGTCTATAGTCTAGTCTATAGTCTAGTCTATAGTCTAGTCTAGTCTATAGTCTAGTCTATAGTCTAGTCTAGTCTATCTAGTCTATAGTCTAGTCTATAGTCTAGTCTATAGTCTAGTCTATAGTCCTAGTCTATAGTCTAGTCTATAGTCTAGTCTATAGTCTAGTCTATAGTCA